TAACTGAATGAGCCACCCAGGTGCCCTAAGCCTTTAGATTTCTAACACAAACACACAGAAATTATTTTATATGGTAACAGTGGGCAGTGATCTCTACATTCCTGCATGGCACTGTTTGGCTGAAGCTGGGTAGCAGATGTCCCTTTGAGTCAGAGCATGTGATTTCCTGTCCATCACACTGTCCTGTATTGAGCATTTGCCTATTTCCTCTGGCCCTTTGGGCATTAGATCTCGGGTGACCCATAGGATGCTGGATGTGATGGCTTTTTGGTTCTTTCTAAGCCTGAGATTATAAGGTTAATTTGAACATGTCCTATGCAAAAGAGACTCTAACTTCAAGTTCTTCTCAATGCATACCCATCACTTGCATAAGAGTCAATGCCAATATTTGTGTTCCACTTTTTTATTTCTCCCAGGAGATAGAGTACTCCTAAATCCAGAAGGATGAGCCATGTGTAATGTTGCTACTACTATAATTGATAATGCTGTCATACATTGTAGTCATGGATTTGTTCCTCTTTGTAAATGGCTAATATGTAGCTTATATTGAATCTGATGCTTCACATAATTTATTGCTGAACATATGCTAGATTGCCTAACCACTGCAATGATATAAACAGTCTCATTTCTTGATGCATGGTCACTGTCCAACTTTAAAAAATTCAATATCTATCACAAACAAACTCTCCTTCCAATAAAGTACTATAAATTCTAATATCTGGGATATTGGAATCAAGTTATTCTTAGGCAAGATTTTAACTGTTAAGGGTAAATATTTCTGGGGGGGTTCATGACAGAAGGGATCTTTATCTCTTTGAAATATTCACCGTATAATTAGCAAAGGATAATGGAGAAGAGAAAATTCCAAAACTGTATGAGTAAAATATGATAAATACTATAATAAATGATGATGTGGGGCATGGAGGAGACTGCATTAACCCAATATTAGAGAATTAAGGAAGATGTTGTGGGAAGAAGTGATATTTAAGCTAAGATCTAAAAATTAATTAGGGTTCGTATGACAGAAAGTGAGCAAGAATGTTTCAAAGACACTAATGTATGCAAAGACAGGGAAGAGAGAGGAAGCAAGTCATGTTGGGGAAAAGAAATAGGGCCCTGGACTGGAACATAGATGAAAGACTGCAAGTGGCAAGAGGTAGACCTGGGCAGGAAAGTAGGAATGTAAGTGTGAGGCTTTGTAGATTGTTTCAAGAAATTTTGTTTTTATCTTAAGAGCAAAGGGAAAGCATTGGAGATTTTAAATAAAGGAGGCCAGATGATCTAACTTCAGTTTTTAGAAAGCTAAACCTAGCTATAGTATGGCAACTGGTGAAAAGAAGATGATAAGAAAACCTGGAGATAATGACACCATTTAAGATACAGTGCAGAGGGAGAGAAGTGGAAAGATTCAGGAGATATTTAGAAAGTAGGACAGAAAATAAGGAAATGAGTGAGAACAACAAGAAAGGAAGGACAGGAGGAATGAGCAAAAGAAGGAAAGAGAAGAGTCAAGGATGACTGGAGTTTTTATATGGGCTTTCTGGAGAATGAGTGCCATATAAGTGCAGCATCCTAGGAGGTCTTGACCTTGTGTTACACTTCACCCTCATCTCTCATCTTACAGTTGCAGAGAGTTTTCAGTTTACTAAGTTCAGTCACAACTACCATGTCATTCACCAACTGCATTTCCAGAGGAAAAGTTTGTAAAAGGGCCAGAAGAAATGGGACACACTGAAGGAAGCAAAAGACGGCTCCAGGGGCTGGAGCACAAGACGTGAAATGATCTGAGCAAGGTCGAAGATACAGAGACACATAGAGTTGTGCAGGGCATGTTAATAACTTTGAGATTTAATCCTAAGAACATGGGAAGCCATTGGACGATTTTAAGCAATAGTGGCATAATTGGTTTTATGTTTTTAAAATACCATTCCAGTAGCTCTCAGAGGAGTGGAGAGGAAGAGGGACAGAATGAAGGGAAAGAAGTCAAATGGCTATTGCAATAGTTACAGTGATAAAGATGGCAGCTTTGACTAGCATAGTGATGGGTGAAATTTGGAGAAGGACATAGATTTGAGCTTTAGATCTCATCCCTTCTGTTTTTTGTTCATTGTTGTTCATCACAGTCTTTGCTTGTGCAAGAAGGCAAGAAAAAGATATAAAAAGACATACAGATTGAAAACAAAGAAAGTTTTCTTTATTTACAGATCACAAAATCATCTATGTGGAAAATCTCGAAGAATGTAGAAAAAAGCTACTTGGATGGATAAGTACATTTAGCAAATTTGTAGAGTACCAGGTTGGTATTTAAAAATTAACTGTATATGGTGATTAACATAACATAATAAAAAAAAATTAACTATATCTCTCTTCTAGCAAAGAACCATTGGACATTGAAATTTTAAAAAATAACATGTATAATAGTATCAAACACAAAATGCATAGAGATAAGTGTAAAAAAATGTGCAAGGTTTGTATGCTAAAAACTACAAACACACTGACGACAGAAATTAAAGAAGACATAACTGAAGGGAGAGCTATACCATGTGAACTGATTGGAAGATTCAGTATGCTTAAGTTGTCAATTCTTCCCAAATTGATCTATAAACTCAATGTAATCTACCCAAAATTCCAGTGGGTTTTTTTTTTTGGTAGAAATAAACAAGCTGAGTCTAAAATTTATATAGAAAAGCAAAAAGCCTAGAAGAGCCAAAGCAATTTTTATAAAGAAGAACATAGTTGGAGGATTCATATAACCTGATTTCAAGATTTAACTGTAACCTTTCAATATAATATGGTATTAGTGTAAGGGTAGACATATATCAATGGAACAGAGCCCCAAAATAAATACAGATATATGGTCAATTGATTTTTGACAATAGTACCAAAATAATTTAATGGAGAAAGGAAAGTTTTTTCAACAAATCATGCTGGAAAATTAAACATCCACATTAAAAAACAAATTTTTTATGGAGAATTTTTTAAAAGATTTTATTTATATGAGAAAGGGAAGGAGAGAGAGAGAGAGGGAGCACAAGCAGGGGGAACCGCAGACAGAGAGGGAGAAGCAGGCTCCCCATTGATCCTGGGACCCTGGGATCACGGGATCATGGGATCATGACCTGAGCTGAAGGCAGATGCTTAACTGACTGAGCCACCCAGGTGCCCAAAAAACAAATAAATTAACAAAAGAATAACAAAAACTCATACCTGTGCCATTAAAAAAAGAGAACACAAATAGATTTTACAAATATAAAACCTAAACCTCTGAGAGTTCTAAAAGAAAACATAGGAGGAAATTTTTGTAGCCTATTGATGCAACCATATTTTAGGAAGGATACCAAAAAATGTGATTTAAAAGTTTGATAAGATAGACTTCATTGAATTTAAAAACTTCTTTCAAGACATTGCTAAGACTATGAAAAGGCAAGCCACAGGCTAGAGAAAAATACTTTCAAAATGCATAGCAGATGAAAGACTTCTACCTAGAATCTAAGAACTCTTACAAGTAAATAATAAGGCAATCTGAACAAACACTTCACCAAAGAAAGAGGTATGAACACACATAAACATGTGAAAAGATTATCAACATCATTAGTTGTTAGAGAAATATAAAATAATACTACAATGATATACCATTACATACCTACTTAAATGGCTAATATTTTATTTAAAACAGGCAACAAAAAAGTCCTGGCAAGGCTGTTTAGCAACTGGAATTCTAATCCATTGCTGGTGGGAATCCATAATGGTAAAAACACCTTAGAAAAACTCTTATCATAAGATCTAGTAGTCATCTCTTACATATTTATTCAACAGTAATAAAACCATCCACACAAAGAACTGAATGGTATTAACTGTCTTATTCATAGTAGTCCCAAAGTGAGAATAATTCAAATAATCATCAACTCATGAATGTATAATTAAATTGAGATACATCCACAAAATGGAATATTACTTAGGAACAAAAAAAGAATGAATTACTGAAAATCAACAACATGATTCCATTTATAGGACATTCTGGAAAAGGCAAACCTATAATGACATAAATCAGATGAGTGATTGCTGGGGGCAAATTTCCAGTCTAATGGTGAATACAAGTAAGTAAATAGAATGACAAGACATAAAAGCAACTCAAATAAAATGAAGAGACAGATGCAAATAAAATTTACCTTAAACCTCAAGTATGTGTATATTTTTCATGTGATTAGATTCCATATCTCTACAGTCTACATGAACACAGAGTACAATGTATATTATCACCAAAAATTAGGCTCACTCACAAAGCCCCATTTTTGGAAGGTATCCATTTATGTAATACAAAATTATTAGGAAAAGCAGTTCTCTTCTATAATGTGAGACAAGCAGAAAACAGTCCTGATAGGTTATTTTTGTGTTGCTACTTTCAGCTCACCCTTATATACACACTAAAAAGGAGCATCTAGAATCTAATCTCAAAAAATAAGTATTACAATGTCCACGTTATTTGCACCCACCTGCCATGTGACCGTAGTCATTTGTTGTTTTATTAACCACAGATAAATCAAAGCCTTAAACTTTAATAAAATATACCTAATGCTTGTGTGTGCCTGTGTCTCAAAATCACACAGATCATTAAGTTTTCTGGATTTGGCACACGCTTTAAAAGAAACTGAGGGGCGCCTGGGTGGCTCAGTTGGTTAAACAGCTGCCTTTCATTCAGGTCATGGTCTTGGGGTCCCGGGATCGAATCCTGCCTCAGGGTCCCGGCTCAGTGGGGAGCCTGCTTATCCCTCTCCCCACTGCTGTGCCCTTTCTCTCTCATTACCTCTCTCTCTCAAATAAATAAATAAAATCTTTTAAAACAAAACAAAACAAAACAAAAAAAACCCAAATTGAAATTGTTTACTTAATTCTCACCTTGCCAACCCACCAAGAGTAATAATTTTTGGAAAAAAAGTGTTTCTTGAAGTCATGAAAATGCACAGAACTCTGGAAAACAGAGACTTTGCCGGATGTCTTACCTGGCTTGAGATGAGCGAATGGAATTTCACCAGTGAGAAGTTCCCACAGACACAGAGCATAGCTGAAGACGTCAGCTTTGATGGTGTAGCGTGTGCACTGCGTGAACACCTCAGGAGCCATCCAGCGGAGGTTCTGCATGTCCAGAAACATCCACAAGTCATTTACCAAGTGTTTAGTTATTCCATTGTAGAACAGTGTTTTTCTTAGTAAGGATTTAAGTGTTCTCGCATTGTTCTCAAAAGATACATACATAAAACAACATCGATTGCCCTATACTGTGCAATAAAATGGTGTGTTTATACATACATAGCAGGTTTACTATTGTTGCTCATTTTTACAAAGGGCATTTTTTAAATCATTGGAAGATCATGAGATTCATAATTCTTCCCAAAATATTGCAACAATATTAATCATCAAGTAACCCTGCATCTTATAAAGTGATGGTCACAGCAGCAGCATTTTCGGTTTACTTCTAAGCATCTTACCCCTAGAGGCCATAGAAGCTTCTGAATAGCCAATCACGATTCACCCAAGAGCTCTATGCCTCCCTGGGGGTGAATCACACACTGTGGGAGGCACCTTCCCTCCTTTAGATCTTCAGGTTGTAATTTAGGAAGTCACTAAATCAGACCCCTAAGTAGTGCCTTCATGACTGAGAAGAGAAAGGACCGTAGGGGAGTGCCCAGAATATTCCTATGAAGCAGATGTCTTACTGGCAGGATCACGTCTGTCACATCTCCTTTGTTTGCCCAGTTGTGTTATTTCTGAATGCGGTTTGGGCAATAAATATTCCAGGAACAAAGTCTATAAAATGTTATAATCTTCTCTGTACAAAGTTTTATATTCATGTTTTGATGGCATTATTTACATTCTTTTCACTTGCAGTTATGTATTTTTTGGTTTTAAATATAAGTTTCCATTCTGGGCTGTAAATGCATAATTTTGATTTATTTGTGGTTTAGGGGAAAGAGCACTAGGTTTTGAGTCAGGAGATGGAAATTGCAGTTCTAGCTCTACCATTGCCTGTTTGGGCAGATCTGGAGAAATCTCATATGCTTCCTGGACCTCAGATTCCTCAAGGGCAAACAGAGGAGGCAGGCCCTTCCAGCTCTAAAATCCCATGGATCCATAACCTTATCAATGAACTTCACCAAACACCTTCTTTCTTTGTATTTCCACTGAAGGAAACCAGTATTCTTTTATTGCTCTTCCTGAAATTCTATGCAGAGCTGGCTGCTGATAATTCTTTTGAAGTGTCTATCTTATTTTGAAATCATGCATAATTACAGCATTCCAAGAATATCTCTATTCTGATTATGGTGCTTATATGCAATTCTTCCACATGAGCTTTCACATTCCAAATAGTCTCCACTTATGTAGCAGATTATGCATTGTGTCACAACATTGCGTAAGTGGAAGTAGGCATACGATGTGCCCATTTTTCCACAGGGGAGTAATAGAGTAATTAGCCAACTTACACAAGGCCACATAACTAGTAAGAAACAAAATAGCCTTCAAAATAAATCTAGAGTAGTGCTGTGCTTAAAGACTACACTGCTAGAATAAAAAAATTACTTGCTGTTGGTGACATTCAATTCAATTTCTTTCAACAAAAGTTTATCTAGACAGTCTGGATGTAGAGTCACCTGGGGAAACTTAATAGATACAGGTACCCAAGATCAACCCCAGGCCAATGAAATCAGAATTTCTGGGGGTTAGATTCAAGTGGCATACTTTTTAAAAAAGTTTCTGAAGTGATTCCAATATGCAGCCAGGATTGAGAACCACTGATTTAGCTATCTCTATGTTCCAGGTCTGTGTGTCCTGTCAAAAAGAGGACTCATTCTTCCTACCTCCCTTACCTCATATCTTACCATTCTCCTCTTGCACACTCTACTCCAGTCATTCTGTCCTTAAATACACAGAGAATTTTCCTGCCTCAGGGCCTTTGCACTTACCGTTCCCTCTGTATTTCTCTTCTCCCTACATGGATGACTGCTGGTCAGGTCTCTCATCAGATGTTATCTTTCCCTCTTGCCCTATCTAAATGGCACTACTACTACTCTCCATTCATATGCTGTGCTTTGTTTTTTCTTCATAACACTTACCACCACCAATATATATTTTGTTAATTTGTTCAGTGTCTAACTCCTTCTAGAAGAATATTAGCTCCATAGGAATAAGAAAATTAATTTATTCACTGTAATATCCCCAGTTCCTAGAAGAATGTCTGGCATCTAGTAAGTAGTCCATAAATATTTGTTGGATGGATGAGTGAAATCTAACTGGGGAAACCAGCATGAATAATCCTGCTTACAATACAACATGGTCCATGATGTGGTTCCTGCCTTCTGCTCTAATGCATCTTTCACTCTCTCTTCCTCACACAGTGCATGCCAACAATGCCAACCTATTTGAAGTTCCCTTAGGAAGTCTGATATTTCTCATTCTCCCCTGTGACTTGGCTCACACTGTTGTTCATTCTACCGGCCACTCCTTTTTGTTTTCCCTCCACCTAATTTACACCCATTCATCCCACCTGTGCTCCCATGATGCTTTGTCACACCTTATTTACCACTGAATTTCCACACTGCTTTCAATCTATCTGCTTATTGCCATGTTTTCCCCATTGGAAAATGAGCTCCTTGAGATTAAGGACTAAGCTTTTCTTCACATGTTGCATTCCTGGCCCTTTGCACAATGCCTGATACATGGTAGGCCCTCAGTAAATGTTTGTAGACTGAATGAATAAGAGTTTAAATTAGCAGTGCAAAATGCACGGAAGCCCAGACAGAAAAGTGCATGGGGAGGAGGCAGCAGGGGGCACATTATGGAAGGAAAGGCACTTAAAATGGATAAAATTTCCTGGGTCTTGCAAGATGAGTAGACTCCTTTTAGGTGGGGTGGAGTAGAGGGCTATCCAGACAGAGAAAACCACACCAGCAGAGTCACAGGGATATGAAAGTGAATGGCATGTTTGGGGAATGACCAGGAGGCTTGTGTGCTGGGCTACAGGGGACTTGAGAGAAGTTGCTGTGGGAGAAGAGGTCACCGAGGGGTCCTGAGCCAGACTGGGGAGGACAGGAGGCTGCCAGGCAATGAATTTGGATTTTGGCCTGTCAGTGGTGGATATCTTTTTTTTTTTTTTTTGGATATATTT